GGTGCTGTGCCGGGCGGACCCCGCGCTGCGGCCGGGAGGAGGTCACCTGCTGATGTACAAAGTTTTAGAAGTAAATCACATCGGAGCTCACGCCTTCCCCGGTTACTGGGAATTAAGAGTGAAGGGAGAATGATCCAGAGTGGGTGATAAATCTTAAACAGGTCGTAGAAGGGTAGTGTCGTTTGCATTCATGTACGGCCACAGCACTGAAGCAGTAAGAAAACATTCAAGTTATCTTCACACAGGAAAAAAAGCACATTTTTTTTTTTTTTTCTTATATGACATGTAAGAGTGTTGGTACTGAACATGAATGATTCCCGACTTTGCGTTTAGTACTCGGAAAAGCAGGTGACCTTGGAGCAACTTCTGCATAGCAAGAACGTTTTATCCAAAAATTGGTTAAATAATTCAGTGAGGTAACACGGGGAGAACAAATGGACAAGTTGTTGCAGACCGAAGAGATGATGGTGTTCTGGTTTTGTGAGAAAGAGTCCTAAACATAGGAGTGCAGTTTGTTCTGGTTGTAGCATTTGGTCCGCTGTTGTGGATCAAGGATTGGTGTATTAATTTTTGTGAGGGAAAGTTGGTGTATTAATTTTTGTGAGGTAAAGAGAATGGAAAGGAGGCAAACCAGATCATATGAAATGTTAAGAACTTATATTAATTACTTATAATCTTTGTAGTGTCAGTTGCAGGAAGTATTTGGTATACAAATGTATCTGAGGAGAATGTAGGTGCTATGATGGAGTATTTTGTGGCAAAACTGTTTAAAACCACATTGCAAACTTGTCTTGGAATAAATGATGTAATATTTATTACAGCATTATTATATATTTAAATCAGATGCCAGTTTGTTTAATTGGCTAAATGTTCATACACATTTTTAATTTTGTAGTTCAGACTCTTGGAGAAGCAGTTTTGGTGCATGTTTCCGAGGTTGGTTTTGCTTTCGTTTTTGTTTTTAAATCCTATTGCAAAGACTGACATCAGGAAGTTCATGAAACTTCCTGCTTTACTTTTATTATGCAACTTATACAAAAGACAAAAATAAGCTTTGAAGAAACAAAACTCTCTTAATCAAACCACATTTTTAATCTGTATAACTATTAATTTACAATGGTTTTATTTTTCTTTTTGACAATTCAGTTATTATACAAGAAGACAGCACTAAAAAGGAGTATGAAGTAGTTGGACGTTTTCCATTGGTTGGCCCTTGGTGGAGAGTTAATGTTAAAGTTAAAAAACTGGGGTCGAAGTACTTTGCTCAAGGATATCCATCCTATTTTCTGCGGACTGATATAGAAGAAAACAACCGACAAGTCTTTTCACTCTTTCTTAAGGAATGTGCTGTTCCTGAGTATTTTAAAGAAAAGTTTTTTAGGTGGCTTCCTGTGGAGTCTGTGCTGAGTTTTGGAGATCTTGAAAAAACCCTAAAAGATTTCCAAGTTTCACACTTGAAGACAGGGATTAAACATAGAGACACAAAGGATTATGACATCTTCTTCTATGTTTCAAAATCATGTAGGTACATCCTGTGCTGTTTCAATGATTTTATAAGTTAATCAATGAGTTTTGTCTTAGATACTGTGTTAAAGCTGACATGGCTTCATATGAAGTGTATATTCAAATGGTTTTGAACGTGCAAAGATTCTTTTTTTGTTTGTTTTCCAAGAGATAAATTTCTAAAATTTCTCACTTTCTTCTGAAATTTGTTTCACTTATGAAATTTGGTTTTTAAAGCAAGATATAGAGCACATCAGTTGCATTATCTCCCTTTTGCAGGTCCCAAGATTGATAAAAATGGGGAAAGTGATAGCTTAAGTTTGGGATCATTGAGAAAGCCAGTGGAGAGCACTGTTTTCCTGAGTTTCTGTACTCATATGATACTATAGATCTAGAAGCCTCTTATTTTGGATTTTAAGCTTCTGTACATCTTGTCTGAGAATTAGGTAAGCAGCGGGTGCGGTGAGCTCTGAACTGACAAAATTCAGTATACAGTTTAAACTGAGTGTATAATACGTACTTTCCAAATGAGTATGTTTAGTTGCAGTTTTTATGTTATCTGTTTACATTATTTTTTCCCCAAGGCAGTTCAAGGAAAACAGTCTTTAGGATTACAAAGAATATGAAAGTGAAAGAAATTTGGGATATTTTGGATGTAGCGGAGGCAGAAGGATAAAAGCCGAAGTCTTTTTAAATTGTCTTTATAAATATCTTTATATATTGCTGAAAGCTTTCATGGTTTATGGTGCATACAGTTGCAGGAAAGGCAGCACTGGTAGCTCTGACTTTTCCTATGATACTGGAGTTCTTGCCGATTCTTCTGCCACGCCATTTTTGCTCTCTGTTGGATATGGTGTGCTGGCAAAGAAAGACTGAAGAAAACAACAGTAAAGATAGTGAGGAAGAGCATTTTCAAGACAAGATGCTAACAAAATTGGATGAGATACTAAAGAATGAGCTATGGAAACTTGGATTCAGCAGGGTAAGTAGTGTTAAGCAGGGTAAAAAATGTGGGGTTTCTTACATTAGAGCATTCATTAGATTGAATGCTGTTTCTGTTACATTCAATTTATCAACTGGGCATTTGTAGGAGGTAAGTTTAGTTCATTTGGAAATGGATAATGTACTGGACTCAGTTTTAGCAAAGGTTTGGGTTTTTTTGTTTTTTTTTTTTTACTTTTCCTGGTTGGTCTACACAAATTAATCTTGGAAGATTTTAAAAGTGGTTTTGTGACAACCATTTCTTTAGTCTTTTCTGCAAGGAGCAGAAAATTAAATACTTGAAGTAACTGGCCCAAAAGTAAGAAAGTTGATTTAAACCTCTCAGTTGCCTGTCCAGTTTTATACCAGGAAATGAGATTTTCTATTCTTAATGCATAGAACAGTATCCGTGCTTCCACAGTAAGGCGGATATATTGCTCTGTAAGAGATCATCTGGTCTTCTGGTTCTCCTTTCTTGTAAGTTTTTTTGCAGTTGCTGCTTGCCTTCCTGTTTTTCTTCTCTTTACTTGCTGTGCAGCTTTGCTGCTGCACCTCACCTTAGCACTCCTGTACCTCAGGTGGCAGCTATGGCTTAATAGGTCAGATATGTGATTAGTTAATCCCTTTGCTTCAGCTACCCAATGCTTTTACTGACACATGTTCTGATTTGTCTTGAACAGCTCCAATTTCAGAGATTCAGCATTCTAGCCAATGTATTCCAGTGTTTCACATCTTTTCCTTTTAAAAGCTTTTTCCTAATGTCCAGTTTGACTATTCCTTAATGCAATAGACTTGTTGCTCTTGTTTCTTGTTCGAAAGACCTGCATTCTTGCTGCAGGAGTTTTTACTGCTTGAAGACTCTCTTTAGCTTTTTCTCTACAGCCTCAGCAAGTCCCATTAATTTTTCTTTCCCACAGCAGTTCATCTTTTTTGCTCATCCCAGTCTTTAACTGTTTTGCAGTAGTCTCTGTAAAGTTGTATTTCTTGAAGTAACATGTTCAAAATTGGCTACAGTATTCCGGCTAATGCCTTTCCTGTGCTCTGTTTCTACAGGTTTTGTGCCTTTACTTGAAATTGCGATAATTAGGTGTGCGTGGTTTCTCCCTAATACCTAGCTTGTCTACCAGGTTTTTGATTTTTGAAGTTCTTGGTTTATGCAGAAGGATGACTGAAAGAAATTATCATTCCATCTTACTTTTAAGCATCATGGTTTCATGTAGCTGGAAAAGCATTATAACTTAAAACATTATGAAAAATACATAATTCAGAGATTACAATTTGTATTTACTAGATGAATGTTATTCATTAAGAGGTTAACATCTTCTGAAATAAATATGTATTTGCTTTTATTCCTTCTTGGGAGAAGATTACCTATAGGGAACTGAATCTTTCTTACTGTGAGGCAACATGGGCTGCCTTTTGTCAGTGTGAACATCTCCTCTGGAAGATTCCTGAGTTGCAGAAGAATGCATTAATTCTGTACGATCAACTCAAGAAACGGTGTAGAGAAATGGGACACACTTACGAAGATCAAGATGAATTAGCTCGTTTTGTGTCTAAAGATATGTCCATCGAGCATGTTTGGCAATCTCTTGAATTCTTGAAAGATCAGAGCATAGTGATTAGGGCAAAAAAACTAGTGTTTCTGCCTTATCTTTACAAATCTGAAAAAGACATTGCAATGTATATAGGTGACCTTATGTCAAAGCACTCATGGAAACTGGATGTTGATGTGAAAAAGGTACTTAATGTTTCTGAGATGTCAAGAGCAACAGTAGATACCAAAATGAATGTTACCCAGGCTCATGAAATGGAACATCTGAAAGAAAATAGTCCAGACAATCATAACTGTGAAAATCACTTTGCTGAAAAGGAAGTGGGTTCTACATCTGCTACCCAAAGTAAGGCAGAGTTAGACTTAGATCAGGTGAATGCTTTGGAGAAGATTTGTTCTAATCCTGTCACAATCATAAGTGGAAAAGGAGGCTGTGGGAAGAGTACAATAGTTAGCTGCCTTTTTCGTCACTTAAAGCAGATGGAAAAGGAAGTGGAAGCTGCTTCTAAGGCCTTTGAAGAAGACCTGGCTGCGTCTGAGGAATGGAATACCTTTGATCTTAATGGGGAGTCAGAGAATACGTACACAAAAAAAAATCTGCATGTGCTATTTACTGCACCTACAGGGAGGGCTGCAGGCCTTTTGAGGGAAAAAACGAATATTCCTGCATATACACTACATCAGGTAAGGACATTCTTCTGTTTTGTTTTTAAATTGTGTTCTGAAGGGCCTTTTGACACTCTCTGTTCTTGTTTTGAAAAAAAAACCAACAACCCAAACCAAAACCTTGTTACTGAACTTTCCATATAGAATCCTTACCTAATGCTTAGGCACAACTTGTCAGCATTTGGAAGTCGCTTTATGTTTTGGGGAGCCGTAGATCAGTCATTAGAAATAAATTGTTTGCTGTAACTTTGGTTTTTGATTGTTGGGGTTTTTTTCTACTTACACACATATCATTCGTGCCTTTCTGAGGCATCTGGTCTTTTCAGCTTCTCAGCTATTGTTTTGGGTTTTGTTTTTCCAAGGAGGAAATTAAGCCTCAAAGGTTAAGGTTAAACCTTCTGATTATTTACAGGTTTAAGTTCAGAATTTTAGATGATAGCTCTGAGTACAACATTAGAAGATACCATGCTCTAGCTGCCCTTATAAGACAGTTGTTTAGTGTCAGAACTTGATTTGTTTCTATTTGTTTCTAGATAATCTATAGTTTTAGATCATGGAGGCAGAGCGAACAATTACAGCCATGGAAGTTTTCTACTGTGACAGTTCTGGTTGTGGATGAAGGAAGTTTGGTATCTGTACGCATTCTGAGTTCAATTTTAAAACTCTTATGCGAGCATGCTCAGCTTGCCAAACTTATTATTCTAGGTAAGTGAAACAGCAACTTCAGCATTATACACTATTTAATAATACAGTGTAAATATATTTAAATATACAGTGTAAGTATCATCAGAGCTGTCACTGGTCTCACTGAGTCTCTTAAATACCCGGAATGTTACGTTGTTTTGCACTTGGATATTTCTGCTTATTCATAATGTCAGATGAGAGAGTTTTCCATCTCAGCTGTCAATATAAAAATATCAGTATGTCCCTTCTCTTTTTAGCAGTATTTTGCCTGCTTCTGAAAGTATTATCCAGGCGAGGCTGGACAGGGCTTTGTGCAACCTGGAAGGTATCCCTGGCCATTGCAGGGGGGTTGGAACTGGATGATCTTTTCAGTTCCCTTCCAGCCCAAGCCATTCTGAGATTCTATGATTATGACTTCCATGTGATAGCTTATTACATCTTGCAACTGGAAAACTTTTCTGATCTCTTTAAATTTAAAGAAGCCAGTGTTTACATCTTAATCTCATGTTAGAAGGGAGATTTCATGTCATTCTTAATAATAGGATCATCTTGGTTTAATTCAGAAAGGAAAACGAGTGTAGAGTGAAAATTTTCTGCTGTCTCAGAGGTTTTCTTTTTGGCATGCCGTTCATAACATTTGCTTTTAAATATGTAACTTCAGAATGTGTTTGAATAAGATGTGCTCACTATCAGTGTTTATCATGAAGAGGGATTTGCACATGCTAGTAAAGCATTGCTGAGTGAGGAATATGAAATTTAAACTACAGTCTGATCGCCCAAACAAAGCTTCTTAAATTCTTGGGAGTTTTATTTCATGTGAATTGTGTTGATGAAGCATGTTACTATGTAGAGGGGTGAGTATTTATTAATTCCAGTATGGGGTTGTTTTGTTGGTTTTGTTTTTTTTTTTTTTTTTTAGGATAGTTTTTAACAGATGATCTGTTACCGCTTCTCACAAATACTAATATGCATTCTGTTTAGGTGATACTAGACAGCTACCAAGCATAGACCCAGGAAACCTGTTGGCTGATATCTTTGAGGGTCTAAAATCAAGAGGCTTTTCTGTGGAACTGCGAACTAACCACAGAGCTGAATCACAGCTAATTGTAGATAATGCATCAAGGTAGGATCTCATTATGTATGTAAGAAACATTCTTGTAGTAGGCTGGTCCTTTACCTGCAAAACAGTAGTGCATCCATATTTGACTCTATATTACTGCTTCTGTTATAGCTTCTTATTAAAAATCAGTAACACTGTTTTTAAAAGCAAATGGAATGACCGACCAAAGCAGCAACAACGGAACCCCACGGATTTTTCCAGGAGTGTATGTGTTGGAGAAAAAAAATGTGTGTGATGGAATATGCTTGAATTCTATGGGATGAATTTCACTATCAAATATTCCCTGTTGGTTTCAAATGAGTTGTGCATGTATTGACTTATAATTGCTTCCCTAGAAAGGAAGTCTTAAAGACATTGCCAGTTAAGTGTGACAACAGCTAAAACAGACTGAATTACATTGAGAGTTTAGATGCCAAGGGCCATTAAATCATAGTCTCTTTTTATTTTTTTTTTTTTTCTGTATTAATACCTAGAACCTCTAAATGCTTCCAGCATTTGCATTACTTTTGGTCTGGTCTGGAAATGATCCTGTTTATTGTCAGTGCGTGGCTTCTTTTTTAAACTTCAAGCAACAATAACTAGGTCCAAGTGCCCAAGACCTTTTGATACTGATCGGAAGCTGAGAATATTCTGGACTACCAAATGTTTTACAAACACTCTCATTATTTTTATTTATTTTTTTTTTTTGCTAACTCTTCTGTGTTATTCCAGCCTGCTCCCATGAGAAGTAAGAACACTAAGTACCTGCTGTAGTGCCGAAGTGTTTAGAGGATAAATTACCATTTTTTTTTTTTATTGTGAAATTAAGTTATGCTTAGAAGAAAGTGTTTCTGGTGTATGTAGTATAGATGACCAAAAATGTGTAAATGCTGAATTTCAGGCTGATGTAGATGATGTTACACAGGAATCCTTTAACTGGAAATAACTTTTCTGTTTTCCTTCCACTGCTCTGGTCAAGAATCTCTCACCGGAAGTTTCCTGAGTTTGATGAGGTGCTGAATGTTTCTGCTTGTGATGAGGAAATGAAAATGCCAAGCCCAGAAAAGAAATTCATTTTCATTGCTTTGCCTGCTGACGGGGGTTGTGACAGTACGTGTGTACAGTCAAGTTTGTAATCTTGATTTCCCTTTGGTAAAGCATAGACCGCTTGGCTGGTATTACCATTTGGGGAAGATTTTAGTCTGGTTTTGTTTGTGGTATAAATTTAAATGCTAGATTCATAGTTCACCTTTTGCTTTCTATAAGCGGGTGCAGCAAAACCTGTAAGCGCAAAGGATGCATTGTAGAGCTCCAGCTCACCAGTTACATTTTGAAATGGGGGTGATACAGCTTCCATCAGGGTAAACAAGTGTGATTGATTGTTTTTTTTCTATTGTAGGTGGAGCTGTCAGACCTTAAAAGATTAAATTTTTCAGTAATTTGAGTAAACAGCATCTGTAACAGGATGGTGTGTTGTACAGGAATGTGCTCCCAGCTCTATAATTAAGTTAGGAAAATAGAAGCAGAGGGGACACCAGTATTTCTTTAAAAATATTTTCAGGTTAGGGTTAGGGCCATTGCTTTTGTTTTTTTGACTTTTGTTGGATAAGTGGATTGAGTTGCCACCACTTAGTATGCATCAAAAAGCTTCAAGGAGGATGTGGTAAAAAAAAAAGTGTGGATATTATCACCTTATCTTAATATAGTAACTTACTCATCAAATAATACTAAACCTGGATTTCTCTTGTATTGGTCTGTCTTTACCTCTTTAACGTGCTGTATCCAAACCTTATTTTGCGTGAAATACGCTCTATGCAGTTGTTTAACACAGAGAAACTAGACTTTCTCTCCTTCCGTATCACTCTTGTCTTTCACATTTTAATTTTTGGGAGGGGTGTGTTTTTGTAGTTTGTGTTCTTTTCTGTTTTTTTTTAAACAAGTTGAAATGTCTTTGAAGCAAAAAATAAGCAAAGGCAATTTCATATTGAATTAGGTTTTAAAGGCAATTTCATATTGAATTATGTTTTTCTTACGTTATTCTGCATATTTTTATGCCTTACTTTTTATGACTTCTAAAACAGAGTTGCAAACTGCCATAAAGACTTTACTTAAAAAAGGACCAGGATTGCAGGATGCCAAACAATCACAGTTCATCGCTTTCAGAAGGTAATGGAGCATGTAGGCAGACAGTGAGAAAATCCTTGCTAGCAGCCACGATCTAAAACTAGCTGAATGTGTTGAGTTGTAGAGACTAGTGGCAGTAAGAAAAAATTGCTCAAGAGAATAGGCCAGGTATTTTCCTGTACCCCTTCCGGTTGCCTCCAGTCTCTCCATGGAGAGCTGCTTCATTTTTCTATAAGCTTAATGTTACTTTGCATCATCATTTTTGCCTTTGTGTTCATCTTCATCTGTACTGTTCATGTTAAGGAAACAAAGGATGGATGTAAGTGGTCAGGTTTTGTATTAGGTTCTCTGAGAGCCTGTGCTCTGTTGTTTGTTGCAGTGCAGTGTTCTTCAGAAGTGAAAGAGAGGGCTCATCTTCAGGAAGAACCCACAAATAGAAAGAAATGTCCATTTTCAAACATATTCCATTTTGGCAGATGTGAATTCCAGGGTGCATGATGGTATATGTAACCTACTGTCTATATATGCTTCTGCCACAAGTGGACATTGACCAAATGACAGAAGATACTTGCATTTTGACTGTGAGAAAGGCCAGTTTTCAGTGATGTAATCTGATGGGCATTAGCGCACTTGTGCAGTGGAAAATGCAGTTTGGATATCCAGCTTGGATATTTGGAAGCACAATAGTTGTCATTTAAGAAGGGGTAGGGTGTAGGGCTCTGACATACTTTGAAGAAAGGTTGGAAGGTTTACTAACCACTGGTAACATGAACCGTCATGGTATAATGAATAATATGGCCTCACAGAAACACCGAAGGGATAAATGTAATGTCCAGTAGTACCAATAGTCCATAAACTTATACTTCCACACAGAAAAAACTTTATTTGTGAAGATCCTTTTCTCAGCAATTAAAAACCACCAACTATTTACAGGTTACTAGTGCACAAATAAGCAATTTATAGATTTTAGCTAGTTCACCTGCTTGTTGTGAATGCTGAGTAACTCTGAAATCAATTTATTTCTCCAGTCTGCATTCAGGTACAGTACTGTTATTAATGGTTTCCATAAAAGATTCCTCTAGAATATAGGTACTTAATCTGCATTTAAAAGGTAAAATTCTAGGTCTTTAAAAAGCAGATAAATCTTCTGACTATTTTTAATACATCTACAGACAGAAAATAATATATCCAGGCTTTAGTTCTTCTTTAGTTTTCTTCTTTATCTTAAAAATAAATTAGCTAATTTAGGTATGCAGCACAAACATCCTCACCTTTCTATGGTATTTAGACAAAACCGTTCCTTCTGCATCATGATTCTGTTCTTGTTCTTTTTTTTGTATGATTTAGGCAAGATTGCGATGTAATAAATGAACTTTGTTGCCAACACTATTCAAATCATTTAACTAGGTAAGCCACTGTTCTGCATTTTTTCCTGTAAGCAGTCTCACTTTCTTGGTGTTAACTCCATATGACTGTTCTCTACCAAAAGGTTTCACAAAAATTCAAGAAATATCTTTTAAATGTGAGTTGTCTTAACTGTTTTGAACATTATTAAGGTTTTTAATCTGGCCCAAGTATAGAGAAGGGGAGAGGTAAGAAATACTGAGAGATAGTAAATGCATACTTTATAAATCCATTTCTCCCTCTTTCTTTCTCCAACTTAGAGACCATAAAAAACATCTCTTATTTCAAATTGGCGACAAAATTTCCTGCACACGTAATACGTACCTCAAGGATCTCTTGCCAGACTGTGATTACAGGGAAGATCCTAATCACCATGAATGCAAAAGTGGAGAAACCACCCTCACTGCAGAGACTGCTGAGGAGGGCAAACGACTGTGCAATGGAGACATATTTTTCATAACACAGGTAAGTCCTTGCTGCAAGAACTTGAACAAAAACCCCCAGTGGTAACTGATTCAGTCCTTGTAGAATCCCCAGAACAAAGCTATTTGGAGTTTTGTAATTTTAGCCCACAGTACATACTTAGTTCATCTGCTCAACAGTCATGTGAATAGCAAGACAGAGGCAGACTCAAAATGGAGAATTAAAAAAATACATCTCTGAGCATTTTTGTAAAATGCGTTTCAGTTGATCTGCTCACGTCCAGTGTGAATACATTCTGTAAATACTAAAATGTATTGTAATTGAAATGGGTAATGTTTTGGATATAGGTAGAAGTCTTAAGTAAAGAATAAAGCTGATGTTACATCTTGAGCTCTCCCCTAATCTAAGATTAGGATCCTTAGAAAACTAAGATGGTCAAAAAAACAGAGCAACAAAACCTTTGTATTTATTTGCTGGCTTCAGTGAGCTGAGTTGACTCAACAGATGGTCCAGTTAAAGTTCTAGTATCTGCGCATGGGAAGGGGCACTATACAGGGCTGGTGGGAGAGAGTGGGCTCTTTCGCTTCATGGTAGTAAATCATTAAAATGGCCTCACTGATATATTTCACTGTATCCTCATATAACCAGTTTTCTGAGAGTTAAAACTACCTTAGTCAGAATTTTTCTTACTAAACAGGAGGAGTTAGGGTAGGCCCTGTACAGTGAAACTACTTTTCCTTCAAGGTGGTAAGTTGAAAGATAGCAATCTTTTGCGTTTACCGTCTTCTGAAATGATTTCACTCAGTTGATATTGCAGCTATTGTAATTTCAGGGAAAGCTGGAGTATGGATACACACAGATGTATAGACACAGGTCAAACTGCTGATACAAGCGTACTACTGAGTATTCTTGTGCTATTTCTTTAGGATGTAGAAATTGATAAACAGCGCTTACTGACCATCAGCAGCACGTATGGCTCTACGTTCACTGTGAAGTATAAGGCACTGAAGAAGCTATGCCACATAAAACATGCATGGGCCAGAACTATTCACACATTTCAGGTAAAAAAAATAGAGCAGCTATGAGCTGATAAAACCTTCTCGTGGCTTTAACTTGCTAATGCACTGTATTTTCATGTGAAAGAGCCAGAGGCTCTCTTGAAACTAAAATTCATTGAATGCAGGATAGAAAATATTCTTGGGAGTACCCCAGTTGTCTCCAACTTCCTTGTTTTTGTGTCTTTTTTTCTTTTTCAACTACTTACTGGAGATCTTTCTTACTTTGATAAGGCATTCTTAAACGTGTTTCAGGGTTCTGAGGAAAAAACTATTGTCTATGTGGTTGGCAGCCCTGGCCGTCAGCACTGGCAGCATGTGTACACAGCCGTGACCAGAGGACGTTGCCGTGTCTATGTAATAGCAGAAGAGCCGCACCTCAGGAGAGCGGTCACTAACAAGAATATGCCCAGAAAAACTCAATTACAGAGATTTTTGAGAGAGGCAATCCCAGAAAGAAGCGATTGTCCCACACACACTTCCTCTCCCCTGACCAAGAGCTGGCTAAATCAGGAGCTTGAGACTCAGGCTGTTTGTGTAACCCAAGGTGCTTCTGAGCCACCTGAACCTCTAACAGACCTGATTAAACAGGAAGAGTCAGCAGTTCTCAGTAAAGAGCAGACAGACATTTTGCAGCTAAGTCCACGTAAAAGACAACACATCCTTGCAGAGAATTCTGAGGATGCTATGGAATTCCGAGGATACTCACCCCAGGTGAGTATCTCTCTCTGAACTGAGAAAGTTTTAAAACAAACTTCTGCACTGTCTTTAACCACCACATGTCACCTTCTTACTGTTACAATTGTTTTACCATTATTTAATAATTTTCCAGTTGCCCAGTAATTGGCAAAGCAGTCAAGTCTGGCAGGCAGTTTCCCAGAGTAATAGATAGATAGGAAAAAATATGTTAACAATGTCAATAGCAGCAAATTTATGCATCTTATTAGCCTAGTCAACACACCCCAGTGAATTGCTTAGGCTATAGTTGGCTTACTTTTTGTGTGGAGAAGTCAGTTTTTAGGCGCCGACATGCTATGAAAGAGTTTTATATAAAATTTAATTGGTGAAGCTGATTTGTATACAGTCAAACATGCTTAATAGGTGGGTTTTTTCATTCTGCCCCATTTCTGAGCTCTGTCATGGCGAAAACGGTGTTTTTGAGGACATTACTGTATTTTTGGAGAGTACTGCATTCAGATCTGGGGCCCCCAACATAAGGATGTAGACCTGTTGAAGCAAGTCCAAAGGAGGGCCGCAAAGATGATCAGAAGGCTGGAGCACTTCTCCTACAAAGACAGCCTGAGAGAGCTGGGGTTGTTCAGCCTGGAGAAAAGGCAGCTTACAACAGTCTTCCAATACTTCAAGGACACCTACAAGAAATCTGGAGAGGGATGTTTTAAAAGGGCATGCAATGACAGGACAAGGGGGAATGCCTTTAAACTGAAAGAGGGGAGAGTTAGATTAGACATTAAGAAGAAATTCTTCACTGTGAGGGTGGTGAGACACTGGCACAGGTTGCCCAGAAAAGCTGTGGCTGCCCCGTCCCTGGCAGTGTTCAAGGCCAGGTTGGATGGGGCTTTGAGCAACCTGGTCTAGTGGAAGGTGTCCCTGCCCATGGCAGGGGGGTGGAACTGGATGAGCTTTTAAGTGCCCTTCAAATCCAAACCAATCTGTGATTTTAGTTCTGGTTCAAACTCTGATAACATTTTTGTTCTGTTTTGACAGAGAGCAGTAGAAGAATCCCCACTTCAATCTTCCAGACTTAAGAATCTAACTTTGGGTCACATAACTCCTAGGAAGCTTTTAAAGAAGTAACAAACAATTGACTGTCCTCATTATGAATCTTTCTTGAACCTGTTCTATTCAAGAATTCAGAACAGAGAAGCTGGGTGTGCAGATGATTTTCCTGTAGGCGTTCCCATACTAGCATGTTCTATAAAGTACATGTTTTTTTGTTTTAAAGTGAGCCCTTTTCCGTGATCTGCCATTTAGTAAATTCCTTGGTGTGCTGGTCATCAAAAATAATAATTTCGTTCCGGTGAAGAATGAAAGGATCCAGATGTTCCTTGAGAAAATAGCTGGGGATTTCTGGATTTGAAGACTAGCCTACCATACCTCGATTTATGCATCTCCTAATGGTGCAGAACTGATGACAGCTTGTTACATGTGCCAAAACTGTGGTTTGCTCTTGGAGTCAAAAAACAGTTTACAAAGGGGACTTTGGATGTTTCTAGTGTGGCAGATTTGTGGGCATGAAGTTTTCATTGATGATGGGTTTTAATCTTGTTACAAGATTAAAGAGAACAAGAACCTTGCAACCAGTGACATAGAAATTTTCCCCCACTTTGTACTTGAGAAAGATGTACAACTTGCCATTGCTGCTGTCGCTCAGAATTATATGCTGATAATGATCTTGGTAACAAATCACAATTCCAAGTTGGAGTTAGAAGAAAACATTCCACTTTCAACTTTTTTGTGCACCGTGTGATTTACTGCATTGTAACTTCTGAGATTAGCAAGATGGATGCTGATCAAACATCAGACAAATTGTACTAAAATTTGGATGGCTTCCTTTTTCTTTTTATATGTATAGCAGGAAATACTTTCTTTTCTTTTTTTCTCTTCCCCAAAACTGTGGAAAAAATGAAACCTCATTTTTAATGTCTTTAAATCACTGTTTATTTCAATTTATACAGTTTTTCCATACAAATATTTGCAACAGTTTGAATTTCAAAAAACATAACATAGACGATAAATATCATGCTATTAAAGTATTAAATTTGTACAAAAATACTTTACAGTTTAATACTTATTTGTTACAAATAAAAATACATATTTAAGTAAGTGACTCATGAACTTTTTTTCTTCTTTTTTTACATGATTCAGCATTGAATGTCATTCTGACCTTTTCTGGCAGTGCTGAAATAGAAATCAGAGATAGGTGTGTGTGCAGGGCAGGTGAGCTTGTTCTTCATGGATTGGAAACAGCGACAGGGATACAGTTAAACAGTTTAAATTGACCAGAAACAACTCTGTAAGGTGACTGCTTAGATATGGAGACTCTACAAATGTACAAATCCAGGATCTTTATATTCACCAAGAACAGTAATTACCAATAACAACTTGAATACCAGAATAAACCAAAGCAGCTGCTGGTGAGCATATAACGCAACTGGCAGTATTTTATTGCTTAGGGGGAGAAGATAGAGTTTGTGTGATGTGTTTGTAAAATATATTTACAATTTTAAATCCTAAAAACGTGTGGCAGGGGGTAATGTTTGTCTGTCATAAACAAGGCTGAAAACAAACCGTAGTAAATGGGACTTTTGCCCCTTCAAGAAATCGACTTGACTTACTTAAAAAGCTCAGGTGTGTCAGTACAAGTTTACACGTTTATGGATCATTAAGGAGCTTTTGTATCAGTCTCCCACTCACATAATTTAAAAAACCATTTTCTTTTAAAACCTTTCTAATTTGTCTGAACTCGTTTCAGTTTCACTCTTGTCAGTAATCCTCCTTTACAGAGGTTTTATCCCACTAAAAAAGTCTCTGGTTAAAAAACCCCACAGGTTGCAAGATATACTGTTAAAATACTTCATTGCATAGGGAAGAACATACCTTCTAACAAAATTCACCGAAGTGGGGCAGTAACATTCACCTCATACTGCAGCCTCCTGCAAAAACATCTCAACCATGCCTTGTCTGAAGAGGGCACTCTCCTTGCCAGCAGAATAAAGGTTCCGAAAATTACAGCTCTAGACATTTAAGAAGAAAACCCAGTGCAGCATCACACTTCCTTGTCCATCAGACAGCACTTTTCTGATTGATAAAAAGTGTTTTAAAAACCACATAACCTGGAAACCACTCTTTGTTAGCAGAGGTCAACTCCCTGCTTTTCCCTCAAACAGCAGCTGCTGAAGAAGAGAGGAATATTTAAATGATGTTTAAAACATCTCCCCAGTTTCTTATTTGGGGGGAAGAAAAGGCCCTTACATTTTTGTACTGTTGCTAATGCTAGGTTGTTTAGAATGGAATGACTTGACTTGATGAAGAATCAAACTTTTTCAAAAGTAACCATGAATTAATACAAGCCTTGAGACAGAAAGACTGAGCTGTGCTTTTTAGTGCTGTACAGCATCTGAGCCTTAATCTCAGAAAAATCTTAAAGGGATTTAGCACCATAATTGTCTTTCGTTACTGAATGTCCTGCTAAAACAATTTTCTGCTATAATGTATTTGTAGGATCCCGTGTCTCTGTATGAACATTAGTGTGTCCACTCTGCTGAAGGAAGGCATTAGTCTGATCACACCACTCCCCGCTCGCTGAAGTCTGTTGTTCTGAGCTTCCTTTCGGAGGTGCCAGCGGGTTTCTGCTAATAACCAGCTCCAGCTTATTGCCAGATTCTGCAATGAGGGGCACAACCAGACAGCAGTCAAAGTCTCTGGTGCGAACATGGTTTACCTGGACAATTAGAAGACGGATTTTTGTTATCATTTCAGGAAAAAAAAAAAGAGATCGCAAAAGAAACAGATTTATCCTTGAGACTACAGAACCTGATTTAAAAATTCCAGGTAGAGAATTGCCCAATACAAGACTACTTAGCTATGGTGTCTGGTCTGAAGACACCAGTGAAGTTTTTATTCACCTTTTAATGGAATGTAGCTGAAGTGAGCATGTTTGCACTGGTGAGAGCTCTTGGCAGCTGTCACAATGCCCACTCCATAAATGACATTGAACAGCACAGTTATTCCATCTGTCATGGTTCATTCATTTAAATGCAATAGAGCACATCCAAAATGTCAATTCAGTTCAGGTCTTTGCTCATTTTAATTAATATACATAAATTTATATAAAGTATTTTATTGGGCTAGTTGACAAACAGTGTATTTTTCTCATCACAGTCCAACTTGGCACTGTGGTTAAGCATAGTGCTGACTATTACATTATTCCAACTGTGCCAGTCAACAGCTTGGATCAAGCACAGAAGCAATTCTCAAGTCTGTATCGAGGACAGCAAAAATGACAGATCTGTCTGGAAATGCCTTGGGAATTTCCAGCTTTCCTGAGAGCATTTGTGTCTCTCCTATAGAGTTCTGAAACACCTAACATTCAGAAAGAGTTTGTTTATATAAACACGACTTCACAGAAAGTCTAGCCTTCGCGCTGCTGCATTAAAGCCCATCACCACGAAGTGCTGCCTTTTCTTACTGAGGCTCTAAGCGATTTACGAAGCCTGTGGCACAGAGTGATTACGATCATTTGTCTTTCATCCCATCCCCCTACACAAATCCTTTCCCAGCAGAAATACAAACGAGTACTTTGCATTTTTAACATTTCAGTACTCATAAAATACAGTAAGCGATGTAGATAGATGAGGCTGTTCCAAATAAGTAGTGAAGATGCTTCATGCATTTTCTACATCTGCACAGGCAAACACCCAAACACCCTGCAGTGTGGTGGTTACGCACATTTGTACAACGTCATCTGCATGTCATGTCTCTTCATTCTAAACCTGTGTAGTGCCAGAAACCTTACCTGTAAAAGTCTGTCGTATGGTTTTAAACCTCCCAGATCGCCAGGGCCAGCTGGTCGAATGTTTTTAACGTACACTCCTTTTTCCAGTAAACCATCTGAAACACTGAACCCAAAGTCTTCTCCATCAGAGTCCTTGTACAAAGTTACCTGTGGAGGTGATGTGACATGATGAGAAGAGAAATAAACGATTGTCCATATTTCTACAAGCATTAGGTGGGCTTTTTTCCTAGGATGGTTTTGGTAGGGGTTTTTTTCACATTAGAGAGATAGCTTACCTACTATTTGGTACTTACATTATAAGACTTGTCCCCATTTTGACATTACATTAATATTCTTAGAAGCCACCTTATTCAGTAATAATGAGCCCTTTTCACTTCTGCTCATCAATTGGAAATTTGTGGTGTTCAGCCCACCTTTTTTGGTGTCATTTTCTAAGTCTTAGTTTTTTCGCTACCCTATTCTCCAGTTGCCAGAATCTGAGTAAAAGATTAGGTTTAGTTTTGCTTCAGGGATCAAGACCTGGCCTCAACCAAACAATTGGTGTCATGTCTTTCAAAACTTCCAGCAGTCATAAACAGCACTGGTACTGTAAGCCCTTGCCAGCATGGTTTTGGCCAGGCAACAGTCCACCCTGTAAAGCCTAATCTCAAAAGTGCTCAGTATAAGAGTTATAATGCAATCTGTTAAAATACAAATGAGGCTCCTTCCAAAAGAGCTTGCAGGCAGTGTTCTTACGCAGCCATGAGATGACAGTCATTCAAAAGCAGGAAACAGAAGTTAATAACTGTTAGGAGAAGCTTTTGCAGGTGTTCAAAGAGCAAGTCCTCGCAGGTATCTTTGTGAATTCAGTTATTTGATAGAGAAGAAGATTCAGAGACTTCTTCGTGGGTATGTGGCACACTGAGGTTTTTATTTCTGTGAGGTTTTTACTTTTTCTTGCTCTCTCACATCAGGAGTGCAGATCTATGCAAGTAAGTTGTGCGAGTCACTGGCATGACATCTGACTGACACCAAGGCTGGCACAAAATGTGTGTGCAGATAGAGTCACACAATCAAAATCAAGCTTTTACTGCTATAGCTTTATGTCACTTTGAGTTCAAAATACTGATTTTACCATACCTTGGTGGATAAAATGACACCATTAAGAGTGCATGCAATTTTATAATGGTTCAGTACTAGTAATGCTCCATGTGCTGCATCCTCGGGTGTGCCAGCCACTGAATTCCTCTCTGGTGTTTCTGACTTACAGAATCATTCAAATTGAAGTCTCTAGTCCAAC